CCACCTCGTGGCAGCATTACTCCAGGCTATAGTGTCCTTCCGTGCGTATAGATTTTATGGATTCAGCTGGCGCCATCCGTGAAATCGATTGGCAATATTCACGACATTCATTCTTTCAACGGCCACCTATGGTCTGATCATCATTGCAGGGGCTCCACCTATATGCCGCGTTGAAGTCGCTGTATAAGCGGTACAACTCAGCACTAATCCAAGCAGTAGCCATCGTATCAGTCACTGCATTCCCGAAATTCCCATATCACCGCATACGGTTCTTCGTTTGCTTTTTCGCTGCTGTTGTTTACTTCCAACACGCCAATTTATGGAGTACCTTGGTGGATGCCTGGGACTACATCTTGACTCGATCAATAATGCAAAACCATTAACCCAATTTACAAAACCCGCTTGGACAGGTAACAGATCACCGGACAAATTCCTGTTCAGTATTTACGTTTGTTTAGAATCGAGGGGCGGGAGTACACCTAACAACAGAGAACACTGTATGTTCTGCGAGCAGATTCACAACACGACGCTTCACAACTAAGAAAATGGCCGAGAAAGCTCGCCGCCAATATTCCTACCGACTTATAAAGAATGTGCTTCGCATCACTGACCCAGATAAGCCGTCCCATGAAAGCCTTACTCATTGCCGTGAACACACCCCAATCCGCCTTTGTGCCATGATAGCAACCAACACGTTCCAATACAAATTGCTTGGCTAACATACTGGTAGATACTTCTGTCTCAGTGTGCCCCGGATATGAGACTTTCACTTTCAGCCACTTTGCTTGTATCAGCAGCTTGATATGGCGTATTCTGGTGGGCCCTAATCTACCACCAATTAGACCATACTTACTACAACAGCTACAAAATCGGCACGACTAACACGACATATGGGCTCTCCACAAACATCTCGGGAGCTTCCGAGATTACCACTACGAGTGTGGGCCAGCTTTAATCCACACAATGGCACACGAGTTTTATCTCCCATCCAAATGGCGGAAGTGTACTGTATCCATCGTCACGAAGCAACGCGTCGTATGTCCTCAATCGTTGCATCACTCGCCCCGAGTTTCTCGCGGCAGTTCGACAATCCTAACATCCTTCAATATTCCATGAACCTCTCCAACGAATATGAAACGACTGAATGCGCAGAGTACCCTGTACTGATATCCGTATTGAGAACTTCTGTTAGAAGTGCACTGATGTGCATGTCTGTGTCATTCATGGTGTATTTCAGGTGTCCGTGTCCGTAAGTGTATACGAGTTTGTAGTGCTGTGGTATTCCCACCTGCTGCACTGTAGGCCGCTATATGAGCCCGGGCTTGCTGTATCTCAGGACTCAGAAGCTGCAATAACGCGTGCGTCTTCATCAGATGCCACTCTATATGAAGCTGAAGAGTACGCTCGTATGTGCGCAAGCCGAGAGAGTGCTCTAGTAGCTGTACAATGCAGAGGCTTAATCCGCATCCGTTCGACTACGTTCGTGCGCGCGTCCATGGTTTTTCATTAGGTATGTCATGTTTTTATTCTTAACTTGGGATATTTGATAATCAGTTACACATGACCCTTCGCTAACTTTCAAAATACAGAATCCACCGAGTCCTTGTATATCGTGCGAGAAGGTTTACGCTATCACATTGTTGATTGGGTTGGATGTAATCTAGTGTATACCGCTCGCTTTAAAATATTTCAAAATGGCTTATCATGAGTCAACGCTGGTTTTACAAGGTTTCAAGTAAGGACAGCTGTCATGTGTACATTCTTTAGGGCTTTTAGCAGCCCCCCCCCCCTCCCCTAGTATCACGCTCTACGACATGGCTCAAATAGTAGCGATTAGATGGTAATTCAGGTCAACTACGTGTATCCTGCGGGTTGTGCTTGCTGGCTGTGCTGACCGTTGTTCGCGATTTGTGTATGAATCAGAGGGTTTCTATGACTCCTCTCAGAGCTTCAGCCATTGATAAAATCTTTGTCTTCAATGCCTTGCGTAATTCTTCTGAGAGCTTTTGCATACGACCATGAAGCACCTGTCTATCTGATTAAATAGTATCCGGAGTAGGTGGTGTGAACCTGGTAGCGCTAGGTTGCACGGCACCAAAAATGTACGTCGGATGGAGTTGAATGGCTACTCGTGCAGAGCTTTAAGTTCGAACAACTGAGGCCGTTGGTTTGTGTGCAGTGCTTCCGCGCTTTGTTTCCCATGAAGCACCTGTCTATCTGATTAAATAGTATCCGGAGTAGGTGGTGTGAACCTGGTAGCGCTAGGTTGCACGGCACCAAAAATGTACGTCGGATGGAGTTGAATGGCTACTCGTGCAGAGCTTTAAGTTCGAACAACTGAGGCCGTTGGTTTGTGTGCAGTGCTTCCGCCGCGCTCTGTTTCCTGAAATTATCAATAGACTCTGGCCTATGCGGTTCCTATCCGCCCGCTGCTTTGTGTGCACAAAATCTTGTAGAGATAGTTGCCCGCCTGATTATCGTTTTAAGATCTTATACCTAGTGTCCTACAACACGACGCTGTTTGGTCCTGAACCCGAAAATATATATTGTCTTCCCCATGACGACTGAAAAGCTTGACGTTGGAGGAATTGTACCTATTTCTGTGCGTACTTTTGCAAATCGGTAAAGCTCTATCTCCCATGTCTACGTTCCTGACGTGAACGTGATTAGGTTACTGCCGACCGCGTCTCTCGTTGTGTGGAACGAGACTTTCTCTGAGTCATCACTTCTATCTCATTAAAATCTTTATTCCACTAATCAGTCCGGTCCACTGGTCCGGTCCTAAAATAATCCCCTAGGTCCGGCCCTCTGGTCCGATCCTAGACTCTTCTTTCACGTTCGGTCCTCTGGTTCGGTCATATATATCCACATAGGGTACTTTGTCCACACCCTACGCTCAGCAAGTGTGGCCCTTCCTTAAGTACACTCATAGCTGACACTCTCCTGCTGCCTCCGACATACCGTAGAAGTAATGCCGTGTTGTATGGATTTTCGTGTTACTATTAATCATTGCAGGCTTAATATACACACTGTCTTTGCCTCGGTTGTGTCGGTATATTTGTCTACCTCGCATCTCCATTGTCTATTTCACGCGGTATAGCTCCTGCTCATGTGCTGTCAAACAGCACACTCTACCCCAACAGCTGTCATATTCGCTTGTTGTAGCGATTTTCGTTTGTCACTACCGCTAACAACTTCTGAAATGTAGAAATAGCAGACTACCTATCTACCATATAAATTGCTATAATACGTACAAACTATACACTAACTACACCAATCCGTATTCATTTGTACTACTCTTCATATTCATGTACAGTTCTCTATTGAGACACGCATTCTTTACTCTACTTACACATAGCACATACAACTATTTATACTAACGATCTGTATTTTTGTTTTGTTTATGTACAACTTAATACTATATCTTTTGTTCAGCAAACAGCGATAATTGTTACAGACCACTTCTTACTTTCTTGTATTGTTTCATATCATGTCTTATGCGCATGTGTATGCTTCTAATACATTATACTCTTCTGCCATGGGTTTAGGATTTTCCCACGCCTGTTACATTTCAATTTACTTACCGTTCGTGTGACCACTTACCTTTTTTTAATAGATCGTCTTCTGTTGGCGTTAGCGGTATTTTCGTCAACATCTGTTCTCGTTTCATATTCAGGTGTTCGGTTATCTTTTGACGTATTCAGCTTCTTATAGACTCCTCCATATCCACTATATTCATTCTCATTTGCCGTGGAAATCCTCTATTTAAGTATCATACATTGGTTTAATCGCTGCCAACCATTTCTGGCAATATATCTATTGCGAAGTCGTCCATATCGTTGATACACGCTCCTCTATGTTCTTTATTGCTTTATGTGCAACATCTTCTTCGCTACTAAAATCCGACAGCAGTGCTGGCATATTTGCCTTGCCATTCCATTACCGACTCCGCTATCTTTGTTGGTCCAACTCTCCCTCGTTTGCTCCATGTGTATTTGATGGTCCAGAAAGGGTTAATGGTGGTTTTGCCCAATCTCTTGCTAGTCTTGTTAATAAATTACCATTAAATAGTACTTCATGCGACAATTTTATCCATTTCTCACGTTATTCCATATCTATACTTGTATATAGTCTTTACAATAATCAGTTCGTTACAACTACTACAATTTTATTAAAAATGTGGGGTTATGGTTACAATCTCTGTTAACTCAGTTGGTTAGAGTGCGGACCTAATAAGTCCGAAGTCACCAGGTCGAGCCTGGTACGGAGAATACTATTTTTTCCACCCTTATGGTGGAACATGTAATTCATGTTTTTAGGAGATACTGTAGAATTTTAAATGAAATTGCTATGTAATTGCGCATAGTGGTGGAACTGAGAATTTGCAGTAGATTCTGTCGTCATGGATTGTATCTAAGATCAAGATGACGCTCTTCAACCAACAAGGACTCAACATGGACAACGCAGCACATACTGATAAGTGTTTGAACGTGGTATCGATTTTGAGTCAGATTGATGTTATGTATGTGGTTGAAACCTGACATAACATCACATCTCTTATTGATATATTCTCGAACGCACACTATCATATTCTACATCACACAACACGGCATAATATCTGACACCTTTCACACTGTGGTATTGGCACCTTTTCCAAACAGCACCCATCAAAATTTCAATTTGTACACTCCTCACCGTACGCGGTGTTCTTTATATGCTTTGGCGTTCACACGACCGTGTCCTACCTGCCACTCAAGCCACTTACCAAAGAAGACGTCAGGCGATACATGAATCCCCCCCCGAGATTGGCAATTTTCAACCAGACGTTTTTTGGGGGGACTTCAACTTCAAAGCCTGTAAGTATGGCCACGCATCTGGAGGTCGAACAAACCAAAATCTTGTAACTGTACCGTGTGCTGGTCAACCATCTGTACGCCGAAGTGGTGTGCGACACTGTCTCCGTGACACCCAAAACCATTGACGAGTTCCGCCGCCTCGTGATGGCGGATCTGCTGCCTATGATGCCGTCTATGACAAACGCGTATGTCGTCTGGCCCGAGCTTTACACGTGCCTGGTCGACGCGGCCCGTGTTACGGTATCCGTTATGGACATGGAATTGACCCAAACCGCCGAGCTCGTAGACGCCAAGTATAATAGACCTCGCAAGCTTTACGGTGGACCAGAAGAGACGATATATTTCCGTCGCGAGGTGCGAAAATCGAGTTTTAGAAAGTTTGGATCAGACTGGTCCGTGTCCGTCTCGCGCGCCGGCGATTTCTTCCTGTACAGTTGGTTGGATATAACACTACCCTCAGGTAAGCTTAACAACAACGACCCCAACAAGCGCCTGCATTGGACACACAAAGTGGGTCTAAACATGCTCAAGCACGTTTCTCTAACCTTTAACAACATATGCGCGTTCAGCTTTGACAAAATTTCGATGGACTTCTGGACCAATTTCACGACCCCCACGTCGCACCCACGTTGGTAACAACAATGACATTGGTAATGTCAACGCGCTGATCCAACCGCACCGTGCCGGCGATAAATCACAGACTACATATGAACACAATCGAGGCTACCATGTGTAGAACGTGGCACTTGGACTATCTCTATGCTGATGGCTCAACTGGTACAGAACATGCGTATCACCGGCTTACCACCCCCGCCCCCCTCCAGACCTATAAGCTAACGCACTAGTATCTATGGTGACCACACCTTTGTACTCGATCTCCAGGTACTTCTAACGGAACAAATCCTTCGGCCCCAACAAATGCCACCGATGCCGCCGCCTTCGGACCAACGCACCTCCCCTCTCATGGATATAACCAATACCAATATCGACTTTATCACCTACGCAACGAATCCCGCGCACAACTATTCCAAGCTAAAATATCCGGGCGCATCAGAACCTACTACGGTTGTATCTCACCTTGCACGGTCCAGTTAAAGGGCTGATACGGATCCTCGACCGCATCTGGCGCTATGAACGGCTGCCAAACCACTCGTTTCGCCCACGTCTGACCGCCCAAAGCAATACTCAATCGGTCAAAGATATTGCGTATCAATGACGGTCTCCGCACCAACCATACATACCGGGTGCCTATGACACATGCGCCACTATCACTGGCTACTTTGAGGACCTATCTAACTCTAAAAACCCTACGTTGCTCCACCGGATGCCGAATCCTTGCCAGATGTAACTTCCGCCATACGCCCCGACGATGTTGTAAACTTCGATGGATATTTCTATGTTTTAAACTATATTATATAAACTAAGATACAATTTAAGTCAGCTAGGATTTAGCAGTGGTAGCTTGCGTAAAAATGGTCGGGACTGCCTCTTGGTAAGAGCCTTAATATACTCGATCACACAGGACGTACCTCTAACTGTTCTTTATTGAATAAATTTCATTACAAGTACTAAGTGTTCATGACCACATGTCTAATTTGTAGATAGACATACGAACGTAAGTCAAGTTATTACTTTAGCTAATATAAATAAAGTTCCATCTGAAGAAAAGTTAAAAAAAGAAGAAGACTTATTGGATTTTGGAGATTGGCGGGAAGACCAAAACCTGTAAGTAGTAGTTCAGAGATTATAAAATTAGTTTATAATACCCTACATCTACTATTGTCTCAAATAGGTCCAAGTAAATGAGTTATACCAAATACTCAGGCTATTGGAGCCATCAAAGTGAATTTAGAACACTTTGGAAATATTGGAAAAACTTGTATTTTTTTTTTTTGAATACTGTAAAAGTCGGTCTTCTCTAGGCTGACTATACGATACCAAGACGTTTACGTTAATAATACAATACGTTAATACGTTTAAATGCAAAATGTTAAATAAGTTTAGCTTCAGCCCTTGGTAATGAGCAAAAGATTAGGGGATTTTACACTGAGACTATTGTCTATATGCTCCGCTCTAATCACTCACTACTTCAGTCTAGATTTCTTTATGTTTTAGTTACTAAGACTAGATATCATTTCACTGGACACATGGTTTACATTTCACGCCTCGAAACAATTACCTAATCAAACCAACCAATAAAATACCTCTAAGTCCAACTTAAGGAAATAAAAAGAAAATCAAAACACCAAGCTGGTGCAGTATACATCTGCACCTAAACCCCATCACTTGGTACCTAGCTCCCCATCCCATTTAAGGCATAGACGGGCATATCTAGTTGGCTGGCTAGAAGGAATCAAAACCATGTTGTCCTAAATTCTAACAACTTTGATCCTGTCCTTTTCTCAGTGGATTATCTTGCTCTGAGATCATTATCGAATTATACCATAGGTTTGTATCAACAACCATTTCATGCCTGAGACCATCTCTCATGGTACTCCCATTAATTAAAGATTCCCAAAGTGTCATTTTCAGGTGTCAGATTGGTGTCGTTCCTATATTATGTACAATTCTAATTTCAGTGGAAAAGCCAATCTATATTTGGAAAACCACCTAATTGTCCACAAGCCCTCGAGTGGTGAATGTCAGGGACATCCTACACCTTCGGTTTCCCCCCGGGATTATATCCGGGGGCCCGTCCCGTCCCTTCGGGGACGTGGAGGAGTCCTCCTACATGCCCGTTCGCTCGCTCGCTCTCAAAGAGGGCTCGCCCTCGAGTGGTGGAGAGCGGGTAGTAGCCTTCCTACACTCTCTACAAGAGTGGTGGATGTCAGGGACATCCTACGCCTTCGGTTCCTCCCCGGGATAAGGGAGGCGTCCCTTCAGGGTTGTGACCCTCCCCCGGGGTACTCGAGGGCTTGCCCTCTCGAGTGTAGGAGGACTCACCCACTACTCGGAAGAGCGTGTAGACCAGGAGGGTGTAGAGTCCCATACTATACTGAGTATTGTCACATGTTCAGAATCTTGAATTTCTCAGTTCTTGTTCATGTCCAATTCATTAAACGTATTATATTTACACGTTTACACGTTTAAGCGTGTATAATATACGCTAACTGTGCAACTACTATTAGGAACCCACTATTTTTTCAATACAAATAAAAACCAATGTGTTATCTCATTTGATCTTGATATTTGTGACTGACCGGAGACCGTATTTCTACACTGTAATGGAGGCTCACCTGAAAACTGTACACAAAACCACGGGCGGGCGTACATCCGACCATGTAGCCCTCCGCCAACGCTGTGACGACATCAAAACTCAACAAAACGCTGGTCCAACAAAGAGATCACGGCCTTGGCCTGGCGCCAAGACTACTACCAACTGGTTATGGGTAAACCGCCAACCTCAAATCGAGACAAAGCCAGACACGACAGCTTCAACCGCTGCCTCGAGTCTACATCAATCCGGTTCTGTGCTATGATTACAACGAATACGTACATGTTCACATTGATCGACTACCGCACCGACGGCTGTCTCTGCCCTGTCAGCCCCGGTAGCCACAAGTTCACCCCCAGCCATTTTACCTGCATCCAACAACTGATTCGACAAATATTAGTAGGCCCGAAACTGCCGCCCATTGGCCCTGACCTTCTCCAGCAATTACAGAAGTGCCACGACTTCCACGGTATCTGGACCCTCCTCGAACACCATGGATCTTTTCTCCAGCATGGATAAGAACCGCCGTTCCCCATACCTTGGCTACTCATACTGTTAAAGCACTACTTCCAAATTTCGGTTCAAATCAAATCATCGCGCTTGTTAGTCCCGCCTATGATACTTCCGATCCAGGCCAGCCAACACATACCAAATGCATCCGTGGTCTGGTGCGGTATTGGTTCACCCGCATCCTCACTCCTCGATCGAATTATGACTGATAACCTGGTCCTACTCGGTATTTTGTACTATACACTAACCCATTCCACGGCACTACACGGCGCAGACCCGATCCACACCACAGAGATAGGTACACTACTTAGTAGGTCAGCAAGCAAATACATGGCACATTCGATGGTATCAGTGTTTTGTCAACACCGGCCCGAATTGAACCAGTGCATATCCTCCATCGTCGACTCACTTGGCCCAAGCTTTACAGACCACTTATTCCCATCAATCTTCCCCTGTGAACCACAACAACAGCTATAAGAGCCATACCAAATATTCATACATTGTAACCTATCTCTTTTAAAATAAATAGTATTATCGCTATACTTTTGAAACTGATATTTTCTCAAGACCCGATCAGAAACCCTGATCGAATTTCTTGGGTCCATGCCCTAGAAAACTAAAAAATGAAGCCCTACCGAGTATTCCTGAATCCCGACTGCACAGAGGCCAGAGTGGATAGAATCTGCGTCCAAAAAAGCATTCAATACCATGTGAAGTCTGCATGGCCATAGAGTCATACATGTTTATATATATTATTTTTAAGATATGTATGTACATAAAAGTTCTATTTGCATATATGTTGTACAACTTTCGAAAAAAAGTGTTTTCAACAGTTTTTGCGAGTCATATGATCAAGGCAGGCGTAAGCGTCAGTCATAAGTGGAGAAACGTGTAGCAGGCGTATGCGACAGGGTTAAGGAAGGCAGATGTGACAGGAACTCCAGGAAGTCATAAGGCGGGCAATTTTAAAAGTCAGACGTAATGCAGGCAGGCTTAATTTTGATCGAAATTATTTAAGTCTTATACTGTTCCAATTAAAAAAAGGGAAGCAAGAAATGCGGCTTCACTGTAAAGGGTGAAAATCTAATTATACACCTATAAAGTTTATCCTACAGTTAATAATCCAATAGGCAGGGACCTTACAATTTGATATAATGCTGTTTTCTATTACATTATTGGCGAAATCATAGTGACCGAATCAACCACGCATTCCGGCCCTTAAAATTTAAAAAAAAGTGTTGTCGTTGTTTCTAAAAATAACACCCACACAAGGAAAAATGTAATGTTTTCGGCTTGAGATGTGTCGACCGACTGTGTCGGGTCGAGAACTCGAGAGTTGCAAAAAAAAAAAGCAAAAAGTGGACAGACACTGTCGAAACGCTGTCTTTGACAAATTCCACGGACTGATATATATATACTGGTATAGTGATGTCCGTCCGGTGTGCTCTTTTCACTAACATCAACATACCAATATTTCTACAACATGTTGTTTCCCCGTTTAACTGCCGCACTCGGCCAGTGCAGCCGCTCTGTAGTACACAGTAAAAGTTATTTGAAGACCATTGCTTTTGGTAGAATTGCACAAAGACCCATGTCTGCGGCCGCTGCCCCAAGCGCAGTGCCTGCACTCACAGGGTACTCCAAGGCCATGAGCTACATGCACTGGCTCACCGTTCCAGCAGTGTTAGGCTGTGTAGGCACCGTTTTGTATGCACAGACACTTAAGGGAAAGCCACGTGGGAACATGATGTTCTGGCACAAAAGTTTAGGACTTCTAACCGGAATTATCGCAGCACCTCGTGTTGCTGTGATGCTCACGAGTAGGAAACCTGCCGCCTTCAACACCAACTCAATCAAAGCTGCCCTTGCTGCGGCCACACATTACGGGTTATACGGATTTTTGATCATCATGCCTGCGACTGGAGTCGCAATGGGATATTGTAAGCTACTGCTCGTGTACTGTATATGTATCACTTGAAGTCTGGGTTGTTGTCTGTAGACATGCGTGTGTTGTAGGGAAATCTTTTACATATATATTTCGCACACGATTGTCTGTTCTCTGTCTATTTGTGTATATCTATTATTCTCAGTCCAGTTCACTCTCCAGGTCGGCTTATGACGATACATCATGTTCTGTCTCTAGTGACCAATGCTTTATCATATACGATGGTATAAGTATTTATTGCCACGCTGCTAACTTGCTCCTTTAACAATGCTCCTTACAATGCCTTGATGTCTTCCATTTCGATTCTGCGCTAATGCTTAGACACTCGAATATTTTGAATTGTGTGAGTGATCGCAACACACCGCAAGTGAAGTGTAAGTTGTTCGACTTCAGAAGTGTGGTAGCGTTATCCGTTTTCGATGCCGTTTTGCTAAAACCTGATGCTTGAGTATATTTTGTCCATAGTATCGCAATCTGTTTAGTATACTGTGAGCTTCACTCATATTCTTTGTTTTCAAACTATTGTCCTTTCGTACCATTTCTTATCTTCGCGTTGTGTGCTTATCGCACACTTAGTACGTTTTATCCGTGTTATTGTCATGTTATGTAAGAGATGAAGTCCAGCAATTGTTCTATTTCTACAGGCACTGTAGTGTTCTTACGCACAATGAAACGTTCTATAATGCATAGTTCTGGATATGGATATAAACGGACGTCTACTTATGTCTGCAAGTTTATATAATGACCTTTGTTCAATTGTTGTTTGGTAAAATTTTAGACCGTACTAGCTGTCTCGTGGATGTTTCAGCTCATTCACAGGTATATGTGTTTATAGTTGGGTAGCACGTTCATAACAAAGCTTCGTCGATGTTTTTGCACACCCTGGCGTCCCAGGCGAGTGTCTACGCGCTTTATCGGAAGTACGGATACTTGATTTACGTATTGAAGCTAGTCTTTGTTGTTCGATTGCGTATAATGTACTGAAAGTGTACGTATATATAAATGCAACACACATGATACTACGTATAGGTCTCATTTGAATTTGTTGTCTATTGTTATATAATGCACATTGTCAAGAGTTTGGGGAACAGATACCTAATTACGTATTGAAGCTAGTTCGTTGTTGATGGATTGCGTTTTAGTGTATTGAAAAGTACTTATAATACACGCATACGCAATACATATGGTGATAAGTATAGTTCTCACACTGATTTGTTGGCAATTGTTGCACACATCGATATCAATTTGAAGGGATTGTCTTTCTGAGGCTGTTTTATCAATGTTTGCAACATGGACATTGATACCAGATCATGACTCTACGAGTGATATTCAGAACCAGTATTGATCGTTTGTGCACGTTTAGAGTTCGAAGAACGATATTCTACTTTGCTAAAACCATTTCTAGGTGCCAAGTAGCGGCTGTGAACACAATCGCTCTTGACAGATGTGATTACCAGCAAGTTGCTGGTACATAAATTGCTACTATATCATTGCTAAGACTATGTGCGCGGGTACGATCAAAGTATTTAGTTTGAGCCGATCTTGCACGTAAACGTATATACCAGAAATACATACTACATATGTGCTGCATTTGTGATTTTCTCGTATCTCATATGGTTCATCTATGATACAGACGGTGGATTTGGATTGCCCTTCTTCTGGACAAAACTGTCGGGAGCTGCTGAGGCGGACAAAAGTATTTCCGGACCAGCCTTTAAGGTGCACAAGTTTGTCGGGTACTACGGCAAATTCCTCATTCCGTTGCACGTTGGCGCCGCTGGATTTTCATTTGCTCGTGGCGAGGCCATCTTCGCCCGTATAAATCCTTTCAGAGCCATCGCCTAAACCAATAGGTTCTGAGTTAAGGTCGATATTAAAGGCCATGCATACAATTAAATAACATCGCTTAGCTGGCTTACAAGCATCGGTTCGCCTACCAGGCTTTATGGATATAATTTTTTGTGTTTTGCGGTGTGAAGACGTTTACGTTGCTTTGGAGTGGCTCGCATTCCTATTCTATTTAGCTACCATCAGCGATTATTGAAGTTGCGATAATCAACCGATTAAAGGCGACTATTTATAGTCTACCAGTCGATCTAAACTTACGAATTAAGCTCATTTAGATACGTAGGCTCGATCCTAGAACCTGCAGGAATTGCTATTTGTCAGTATTCGAAATTGAAACAGTGCGCCAGGCCTCTGTCCGTGTCCTGAGAGAATCTACTTGGAGCATAGTAAGTGGCGGAATTCTGCATGCTGTAACCAACTAACCATTGCACATTTTGACTGCGTTCAGAACGGAAGTGTCGTCTGGTAATGGAGGCAATACGTACACTATTCGTTAATGGTCTTTAAATTAAAGTACCGCTTTGCATTCATCGCCCAATACGAGCGCACATCCCACACATCGTCTCCGCAACAAATTTTCGTGCGTTCTCTAGGCTTTCTGTAGTACCGCTCCACGCATGGTCTAGTTTTTAATCCTTTCTTGAAACTCACGAGAGGACTCGCTACTCATTATAATGATAAGGAAAAGGGGGCCATGCAACACCATGCCAGTATTCGTTTAAATTACAAAAGAAAAGTCAATGTGGAACACATAGATTCACCTCCGACAGGTCAACTTCTCGCTGCTTGAACACCAAGTATTGAAACAACAGTGTATGCAAATTCACCGTATCCTACATTTCACATTCAAGCTTTGAGACAACTGTATCCATTCAAGCATATTCAATATTGTATACATTCAAGCTTCGAGATAACAGTATTCAATGATGTACGCATTCAAGCTTCGAGACAACTATACTCATAAATGTACACAATCAAGCTTCGAGACACCAGTATTCATCATTGCACACATTCAAGCTTTTAAGACGCTTCTACTCATAAATGTACACATTCAAGGTTTAAGACAACAGTATTCATTAATGCACACATTCAAGCTTCGAGACAACAGTATTCAATAATGTATACATTCAAGCTTTGATACAACTATGTCATTAATGTATATATTTAAGCTTTGGACTATATTCATAAATGTACATATTCAAGCTTCAAGACAACATTGTATACATTACTCTTTGGGACAGCTATATTCATTATTGCACACATTCAAGCATTTGTAGAACAACATTCTTAAACAGACACGCTCGTGACAGTAACATTATATACATAAAAATATAGTAAGAATTTACAATGAACACCTACAATATACAATTAAAAAAAAAGAACGATCGTGACAGTAACATTATATACATAAAAATATAGCAAGAATACAAAATAAAGACTTTCAATGACAATATACGATGAAAAAAAAAAGAACGAAGTGAATTCTTCACTCGGACGCATCATTTATCTATTCACAAGTTAGCTTTTATCTATATTGTTCAGAAATTTGCGCGGAGAGATCCAGGACTTGTAACTACCCCTATGGACATGACCATCCCAGGCTTGGGAAAGTACATCCTGATTCCCCACTATAATTTCGCCTCTGAAAGTTGGATTACATCAAACCCTTCCAACAGACACGTTAATGACACTACTCTCTGTTAGAAAACCACGAGCGATCACGGCACCTCCCCGCTGCTGCGAGGGACACGGCTAAAGCTATCAATATATGCTGAAAGGTGTATGCCTGTGTTCGCGGGGACCGTGCGGACCGACTAAGTTATACATGTGCGAGCAGCTTGTACTTAAATCAGAGTGTTTAATCCTGAGATTGGTCGAATGAGTCTACTAGGTCGGGCACATCATCATCCTGGGCACCACCTGCAGCGGCCTGGGCCTGAGAACGCAATAGAAAGAAATACGTGCTTAGAATAATCGGCTTAAAAGATTAATATACAACAACACCAGCGGTTCATAAGAACTCCTGAATTACGGCTTGACAAGTGCAATACGGTGCTTTCACAATCAATCAGTTGAGATAAACGAAGAGTTTCAAGCTATTCTGGGATGTCAACGAATACAATCAATTACGTGTTGGTATTGGACAAAAGCATGGGCTTTAAAAGACTAAGAGATGTATGTACCTGTTGCTGGGCACGCATCTGTTGAGCCATCTGGTTGATGCTGGCAAGAGCCTCGGGGCCCATTTGTTGCAAGATACCGGGTAGAAGCTCTTGGATTTCTGTGTACAGAAAATTATATGAACGGGGCTTACACGTGGGCACGCTAATAACATGTATATATATGAAGTATCGCCATTGTATGCGCCGACAGTCGCAAACGAAAACACAGCAAAAAACACATTGAGACAACAAAGTATTTGTATTCACAGTTGAACAAAAACCTCAGTAACTTGTAATAGCATCATGTGTCAGTTGCATGTCTAAGTCAGTGATCGTCACCGGTCTTGTCCATTTGATTTGATGTGTTTAATACGTACAGATGAAAGCGAGAAAAATAGTCAACTATAGTGGCGAGTTCTTGAACAGCACAAGAATAAAAAAGTGCAAAGCAATATGGCGGATACGATCAGAAAACAACGCAACTAATTGCATTCACTCACAATGTCGAATACGGGGTTTACGAGAGTTTAGCCACGGACCGATATTACAACGCGAACGCGAGCTCTTTTTTCTAACTGGAAATAATAATATATGTTAAAAGAAGACATACGCTTTGTCTCGGCCTTTCCACTGATGGCGAAGGTCTTTGAGGGGAAGTTGGCCTGAACCTTGGGCTGGTCGAAGTGTAGAATGGTACCATCCTCCTTGAACATGTTAACCTCTGTGAATCCGGGAAGGGGATTCACCTGTATAGTATACAATCGGGTGAAAATGAGACAAAGCATAACTTATCGGACTGATATCGCTAGATACACCTTATATGTGTACGATATGCTTGCTATGACTGACCTACTTCGGTATAGATCTCGAAAGCATTCAATATTATATATACCGGTGTGCTCGACGGTAAAGGATACTTCCAGCTTGCGAACGTGGTTTCGCACAAAAAAATTTATATACGCCGTACAGGTGGCACTTCGATGTGCTAAAACAAAAGTGAAGCATCTCATTCGGAATTATACACGGCATTTCAAAATACAGATATAAAAGAAGTAACACTCGCAAGATACAGAACGATTATACAATGGATTAATACATCAAGGCAATCGAATGAATACAAGCTGAGACTATTCGATATAACGCACCGAGAACATTGTCAACGTAACTGTCCTATATATTTTTAACGGCAGGGTTGACCATAAACCATGTACAAATTAATGAATAGGCCAACCGAGTTATGAGATTACAGGTATAACTGAATAATATTAGATCTAAATACGCAATGATGAAATCAAGCTATGCGCGTATCCGTACTAAAATGGCTGACTCGTATTTCTTATCATGAGCGAAGAGGCTTCTAATCCGTTTCAAACGGGGTCTGAATATAAATATATATATATATGCCACTATATGACGGTGAAAAAAGAGACATCAATGCTAAAGAATTCCACTACACCTATACATTATACGTTATGCGCCTGTACGTGTGTATGTTCATGACATACCTGAAGCTTCTTAAGGATGGCCTGAATCTTCTTGTCATCCTGAGCACCCGACTTGTGCACCACCTTTTTCTTTCTGCGTACGGTACCCTTGCCTCCCGTTCGCACGGTGTTCTGCAGCTTAGCTAGCTTCTCGGGATTCATGTTGAAACGAGTATGTATGTATGTGTATGCACAGGTACCTAATCCACAACTAACCCAAGTACACTACGTGTTGTGTGTTTGTGTTTCAAATTTCATCTTTCAAACAATTCCAATCCACAGATTTTTTTTGGGTGCGCATGGTCTTTCCACACGAGCGACTCGTGAATATCGAGCCATAGGCCCATAGCCCATAGGCCCCATATAGAGAGCATATAAATAGTTCACAGTCAGAGTAGCAGTCACAGTCACACCTGTGTCACAGTCACACAGAGTCACAGACGCATAGACGACCAGGCGGGCCTGCGATACTAGTGAGACTCTGGGAAGTATCTAAAAATAGATCACAGAAACCGCTGGGCTAGTCTTCACCAACAGCGAGTACCTACAAAATTGGATTTTTTTGGGAACCAAATCCCAGTATTGAGCGCAGCCACAGGGCCAAGAGCCCAAGACCCCTCTGTTCAGTAGATCACCCTGTTGTTAAGTGCTGAGTGTCGTCTGTTGACCTGTTTTCTGGCATAAAATATATTTTTATAAAATTAAAAGTAAACGTATTAAAAATAAAAATGCCAAATACACAAAAAACAAAAATATTGACACAGAGCCTCCTTGTAAAAAACAACAGTCAAAAATAAAATATAATAAATAAATAACCCGCCAATGCAGCCACGAGGTCGGAGTTAACTATAAATAGAATTAGTCATCAGTCACCCAAGAGTGGCCCAGTCTATGTATCAGTAATCAGAGAGATAATACCCCCTGTTGGGAGGCTGGGTCTGAAGTCCTGATTAGTGATACTGAACAGTGAAAACAAATGTAAAATACTGTTTGCAAAAAAGAGAATATATGTAACATGCTAGAATTGGATGCGTTCATACTTGTATAGGAGGCCTAATACTATCATCTTGTTAGCGGTATGTCAATGCAATACACAAGTCGTTGATTGATATTTTAAATTTTAGTGCTACTGATGAATACTAACTTAGACATGCAACTGACACATGATGCTAAAACGGTTCCTGAAGCTTTTAAAATAGTTTCTAGCTTTTAATTCCCTTTTTTGTGTGTTTTTTTCTTACCGCTTGCATATTTTTTTCTTCCACCTTTTTAGGCTAGCGCTTGACCCCGCCGCAGGAGTAATAATCAAGACTTACCTGTAGATGGTTTGTTCCATTCGAGAACAACTGACGTTTCCTCGCGAGGCTCTTGGTTTATTTTTATTTGTATATCACTTGGTTTACATCTGCCATATTTGCGCTGCTTCTCTGTTCCCGACTTGTACGTACTGTCCAACTTTATTAAACATGCCTAATCCGATTCATCGGGACCTTTTCTTTGATATATCGCGAGATGATGGATTACCAGATCTTTTTAATACTTAATTTTGAAAATGAGTCCCACTAGTGCTTCAGGTTTGGACAAGACGTACTTGCTCCTCGCCATTGTACTGTAAATCTCGATCCCACATCTAATATATATCCAAAATTTCATTTTCATTTGATTGCCACCATCGATTTCGCGCTGGTCTGAATTATATATATATAATCTTCTCGTTCTAGCTTCCCATGCGGCTCAGAGGATGATCGCGTACCGCGGAGGAGAATTATTTTATCAACGAAAACTTGCACAATAACTAACTCCTAATACGTACGCACGGGAAGCTCTCGATTCAGCACAACAGACACAGAGTTCTCCGTTGTTTTCGAGTGCAACTCGATCGGCTCTTTTTGATGGAAATTTAACAACTCGGCAACGCTATCAAATTTCTTGTCCGGTACTATATAAACTTTCGCACTTTCTTTGTGGACACGTGTATGACACACTCTCTTATCAGTTACAAACGACACTGTGATACTACCCTCGCTGCTGGCGCTAGACCGAACTAAGTAGTCTCCCTCAGCGCCACCCACAGTAATTAGGAAGGCCTCTGCTTCTTTTTTATCCATCTGCTCGACGTATACCCCCCCGATTACGCTGCACTTCCACCCATCTAATACGCCTGTGGCGCCTGAAGCAGCAGTCTCAAGAGTCGTGATATTACGTACACTACCACTCGTATCTGAGTGTGTGCGAGTATGGTGTGGCTGTGGGGACTTGTCATGCGATTGCGGGATTGAAGACGTGGATACAGGTCTTTCTTTCGCTTCCAGAACGCCAAGCAGCCTAGAGGGCCGTGCGGGTACTGGAGGGCTAACATTAGTGTGCATCGCCGCGCTGCGGAATGGTTTTATATCCGTGTATCCGTCTGAAGACGTGTGTGGGTGCGGACGAGGTTTGGGGCTTGGGGCTTTTCTAACATTCTCCCCTGTACTGTCCACATTCTTACTGTGGTCCTCACCACGCGCAACGGGTAGTACGCTGGCTGACATAGCACGCTTGGGTCTGGGCGGAGGCTTCTCCTGCTGTTGCTGCAATGCGGTGGCTCTGAGCAGGCTATCTGCGGAGGACGCTTGCATTAAAAGTATGGCAGGTGTGACACTCAACGCTGGGTCTGATTTGGGAGTTAGCATCGGCTGTAGAGTACCAAGGCGTGTCGACATTGCACCCGCACTGGTACTTCTGGGTGAAGAGCGGGACGCCAGGGGCAGTACTCTTAAACCGGGATCCCGCTTTTGCGGCTTGAGCCTCGGGGCCAGACAGCAGGGCCTAAGGCCGTTGTAGCACTGAGCGTGTATGTTGTAGTCGCAGTCAATACATTTCATTCCTTGCGATCTAGTCCCAGACAGCATCTTGGAACACACGGTGCAGCACGTGGGCTTCGTATATCTGTGTGCACGGAAGGTGTGCATATTTGGCGGGTAGAGCAGAACGTCTATGAGCCTTGGATAGTTCTTTTCCAGGCATCTGGGAGGAGGCTTCTCGCTGAGAGTGGGGAGCAGTGCCATATCCACATCAAGTAGTCGTTCCGGGCACAAATCTAATATAAACAGCGAAAGTGACATCATACGAGGTTAATTAAGGAACGCGTAGTTGGATCGAGCAAACGCGTTTGATCATCATCTATGCAAGTTATACCCTAATATATACGTACGTGTCAGTGTCTATATATATATATGCATATTCGTGTATCGGCTATAAATTATGAAAACTTTTATTGTTTATATAAGCACAATGGACATATCACAAAGACACAAGTAGGGATGACTATGCACAACTTCCGATATAGCATACAACAAAACACCTTCGTCCACTATGACATATTTTTATAGACTAAATGCTCGCATACAATTGAAATAATGTACAGTACTCATTGTAGCTATATTTAAGGAAGGTGAAATGGTGAACATATCAATGGAGACCTTTATGGACTTCAGTATACAAGCTCCATATATGGACTTACAGTGCGCGTTTAGCAACTTGAAGGAAATGTACATGTACACATCCGGAAAGAAATACAACCATCATTCGCCTTAAATATCTGGTTTAAAACGCAAGTTAAAGAGCTGTTTGCATGATGTACAACTTAATGCATCTACTTCTATTTGCATATTTTTCTTTGCATAAGTACATATTAAAACAAATTTCTCGACGTGTATACATATGTCCACCATTTTGCATCTATGCATACAAACTTCATCATATAGGTATGTACCTTAAACATAAGACATTCTCTACATAAAAAATTTATGTCGTAATAAAAATAAATAAACATAAACATTAATGCTACTTATATATATATATATATATACATACTGTATATGTATAAATGTATTTATGCTTCTGATATAGACATAAATACTCTCACACAATCACATGTATATGGCATACGATAGTGTATATAATATACATCGAAGAAAATTTACACACACACACACACACACATATATATATATATGTATACATATATACATACGTATATATATATATATACATATATAAATGTGTATATGTATACAGATATATATATATATATATATATATATATATATNNACACTACATAGTATACACACACATAATATATATATATACATATATATATATATATATAATACTATTTATAGATATAAGCATATACATATATACATACATACATATATACATATATATATATTTATGATAAAAAAATATAATAATATATAATAATATATAAATGATAATATATATATATATATATATATATTTATATATATATATACACATATATATACAAATGCTATATTATATATATATATATATATATATATATATACGCATTTGTATTTATCTGTACAAAAATGGATATAATATGCTTACATAATGCAGTAATTACAAAGAATAAACTGTATTAGATACACACTGACACTTGGTACATCTGAAAGAGAATACATTAACATGTACAACACAACATATATTTACGTGCATATAAGTTCATATATACAACATATAATATATATATATATATATATATATTTATACAGATACATAAAAATGTATAATATATAGGAACAAACACAGTACTATGTTTGGCTCGTCATATCCAAATTCCATGAAGGTATAAACTCCTAAAACTCGTTGACAGACAGTCAACTTCTATCACAAAAGTATGAAAATCGAATGAAATGAAAATACGTACAAGAGCTGTACTACTATAGATACTAAATATTGTACTCTCACTACAAACCTGGAGTTTTTTCCAGGCACCTGGCATGGACAGTAAAATCACACTCTCCACATTTTACCCCTCGCTCACTAATTGTAGATATCATCTTATCACACAGACTGCAGAACATAATACTCGAGAAGTCAGCTTCGCGCCACTGGTGTCTCAACGCATCGTCAGACACGCTCTTGGCCTCCACTGCTACTGGAGAGACGATATCTTGAAGCATGAAGACGACTTAATCAATGTACGCAATTATGAGTGAGACTTATATGCCTGATAGATAAATTGGGATCGGTGTGTAGTATGTTCCACCTTTACTTTCGGAATACTTGCGTATTGAGGTCTGATTAAAGGTCGAACCCTCTTTTAAAAGCCCTCGTGTTAGTGGCTTAATGTGTATTGTATTGGTATGTGAATTTGCACGTGTATGACAGTACTTGACTAGCGATAAAAAAGTGTTTGGTTATCAATGGAAGATAATGGTCAAATGAAGTATGTTCTCGCTCGAGTGTGTATGCAGTGTTATGTGCATGTTGACCGGAATCGTATGTATGCGAATATGGCATCGGAATGATATGTCTAAAACTCTTTTTAGATATGATCGAGTATGAGAGTACGTCCAGCGAGAGTTTACGTCTCTCACAGTCTCATAGTCACTCTCGGAGACGTAAGTTTCAAAGTTTTGTACAAAAAAAAACCACGGACCACCTGCCACCCGGCCCCAGTCAGTGGCAGTTGGCCACAGGACACAGGTCAATGAGATCACAGGTTACAGGTCCCCACGGCCCACGCCCCACCGGACCGCACTCCACCCCAGAGTGAGAGAGGCCCAGAGTGCCCCAGACTCAAAGGCTTCAGTTCTGAGTTCCAGCTTACTCGCCTCGCGAGTATCTTTTATACAAAATCTGATAAATCTCCTCGTCCGCAAAAGCCAAATTCAATTTGTTGTTGTTTTATACTATATTTCATTGGACAATAAGTGTATTCTTTTAAAAATAAAATGCTACCGATTATTGGATTAGACAGTCCAGTCACAGTGTTCGACAGTCCACTCACCACTGTCCATTGACCCCAAGGGCCCAGACTCCAGAGACTGAGAGTGTTCAACAACTGGAGCAGAGTCAACACTCAGGGCCTCTAAGGCTCACCGCTCAACTGCTTTTAAAAGGCTCAAGCTTACATGCTACGAGTCCAGTGACCAGTCAGCTGCTGAGCTGTCAGTCCACTATTTCACGTTTTACTTTTTTTGAGTTAAAACAACACCAAAAAAGCTGCACTAAATCATAGCCTTCTAATTAAAGTCTGAATGGTCAGAAATTCAGAATAACCCACCCGTCCAGGCGTCCACTCCCACCGTGTGTGTGTGTGTGGTCTGTGACTGAAGGAAATAATAAAATGATGCAAAACGATCCTGTCCCAGTCCTACTGTCCTATGGATATAGGGCAGGGGCCTGGGCCCTTGGCCCCTGGTGGGGGGATCGATGTCTTCAGAGAGAGGCGAGCCGTGCCCTCCTGTATGTGCAGGCCTGTGCACACTCCAGCAGTCCAGACCCCAGCATCAAGGCCATTCGAAAGAGGGGTGAGAGCCTGAGCCCTGGGGCCTGGGCTCCTGAGTCTGAGAGGTCATGAGTCATGAGTCATGACTCATGAGGTGTGAGAACTGCTATTTTTAAATTTAGGTCCTCCAGTACAAATTATATAATAAATCTGTATTCTGTATGTAGAAACCTTTTATTTTAACTATAAATGTATATTATAAAGGCCAAGTACACCCGATATTTATAAAAAACGTGAGTCATAGCTTTATCAGACTATCATTGCTCCTTCGGCAGCGTAGTGTAGCTTGGTGGATATATTACATATTTTAAATACAAAAATAGCAGTCTATTCTATGGGTCCAATAGGATACGAAAGTGATCATAATATAGAATTTTAGATCATCAGATTGTTTTTCTTGTTTAAAAAAAAGATAATGTCAAAAACTATGAAACACTACTCTCTCTGTAGTAGAGAGTAGAGTAGTACGGCCCAGGCCCACCAAGGGCCAGGGCTCTCTCTACTAGTAGAGGGGGGCCAGGGGGCAGGGGCCCAGGGCCCAGGGGTCAGGAATTCAGGATAAGAACTCAGGTCTCAGGAGTCAGGAGTCAGGGCTCAGGGCTCAGGAGTTAGGACTTAGGAAGACCCGAGACAGGCGAGGCTGAAGAGTGATAGGAGTCACAGACTCAGTCACTCTGCACTCAGGGGAAGTCCTAAAAATATTTAAAAAAAAATACACCTCGCGGCTGAGAGCCTGTCGGCTCTCTACTATGTACTATGTAGCGACTAGCATGGAGTCACAACTCCAAGTCACAACTCCAACTGTAGTCAACAGTCAACAGTCAACACAGCTCGCAACCGGCAACACAACCCACTCGCAAGTCGCAAATCGCCAGTTGCATCTTCGACTATACGTACTTTTGCGTAGACAGTGAGTCAGTATATGACTCTATGAGTCTGGGAGTCTGCTTTGTAATCCTGTGACTGTGACTCTGTGTTTTATCCTTTTTGTAAAACATACAATCACATACATATTTAGTTATTTACAGATGTCCATTTTGATAAATATAAAATGTAGATTGTACATAACGGCCAAGAAGAAGACTATCTGAATCTCTGACAATGGATGGCCCTCTAGTGAGAGAGCTTGAGAGAGTAGAGAGCAGAAGCACTATGCTCATTTCTTGTCAGATGATGAGGATAACCGGAGAAAGATTTTCATTTTTCAAACTTTTAGGCTTTAGGATTGTACAGTGACCAGTCACTGACCACACACAGTAATAGTTGTACTGAAAGTTCGAAGATATTCAACGTACATACATGCGGAGAGAATATGTCAATATGATGATTACGACTTGTTGAACCATGCACAATTTTACTTCCTCGCCAAACTGAAATAAAACATTTATTTGCAATATTGTAACTTTTCGGTTACAACTCTAGGGGTAAGGGGCCATCACCACGTTTTCCTCTTGCTCCAAGTACGCCCGAGCGCTTTACTCTCGGTAAGAACTGTTGGTGGGGCAGGCAGTCGGACGCTTGCCGGTGTACAGCTCGCACACAAGTGCAATGAGGTCACTCTGAGCAGCGGCCTGTAGTGAATAAAGTTGGTAACCATGGTAACAGCATGAGTAATAACATGAATAGCAACAGACCAGCCAGTGAGCTTGTGAGGGCTCGGTGAACGAATCAGGTCGCAGACTGGCAGATATCTAGAATATGCGGACAGCGATGTAATGTGCATAGAAGGTGTGGGTCAAGTTTCAAGTTATATATTACATCCCAGAATTTTAGATGCTATCAATTCCGAACCATTCTCACAGAGGATACCACATCTCAAAAATTGAATAAAGATACAAAGTGAACAGTCTAATGCAAAATTCTAGACAAGTATTGCGCATGTTCCCACAAGTCAACAGGACCCACGTGTATATAGTTACCTGTAGCTCGTCGGTGTGCTTATCGTTTACTACGATCCATGGTACGTATTTATGCGGTGGCTTCAAGCTCATAGTTTTAACCGCATTCTCGTGGATGAGTTTTTTACCCTATACGCGGAATGGCGATAGGAACGGCACAGATAAGTATGATCCAAAAGAAAGTTTCAACGACTCGGCGACAACGCTCGCATACTTGTCGCCCACTCACGTTAACAGACAGCAAGCCTCGCTATCGGAAAAATGATCCGGAATAAAATGACCAAGCTAATAATAAATATAGAGTTCAACATACCAAATCCGATGTGACGCAATGGCTGATGGCCACTATCTCCTCATCCGGCAACATAAGTATATTCTCACACTCACTCGCGGCCGATGCTGCATGTAACGTATAGTGTGCACTGATTCAGCGTTTTCAAGTACTCGGCCTAAGGCCCAGATCAGAGCGGGTATGAGTGTGCGATGAAGATTATGACCAATACATACAACGCTGGTTGGTTCGCAATGTGACGGGCAAATGCTCTCCATTTAGTGAAACATCGAGCCCCCTCCGCCTGCTATTCCGAATGAACGAATGTTCCTCTCGAACAATTTCCCGAACAGCCACCGAAGACACATGGCTACGGGTGACACAGGGCCGTCGCTACAAGACCAATAACTACCGCTACCATTCAGGTACGGGACTCACATACCGGGGTCTCGGGGGTTATCGATTTCTAGGCAACGGATGTAGGGGAACCACTTCTCAGAATCCTTGAGTACGTGCTTGGCACACGCCATCTGCAGGTTGCCACGGCATTCGTTGGGGCCATGCTGGCATTGGTAACTGTAGCAGGGAAACAAGTAAAGTGTAAGCATTGAGCGTACACCACGAGGTAGGTGTGGTTTTCATCAGCATCGAATGAATACGCCTCTATTGCTGAATAGTTTGACAAATATGTGTAACAAACTCGAGGATATTCCGTTAACGGAGATGGAGAAACATAGAATCCAGCAAATAAGACAGTGTATGTATTTTACCAGGAAGTAATATAATTCCACAATATTATTGAGTACTGATTATTTGATTATATATATATTTATAGAATTATATAATCATATAGTTTTATATATATATATATATATATATATATAGTCTGGTGAAGACAGAGGCACTTTCAACTATACAGCTGCATAGTCAAAGCACCAGAAGAGCGTAAATAAAACATTGTCCTTCGAATGTCCTCAAGCTGATTTTCGGATGAGAAAGAAACTACAGACAGCGTCATAACAATCCATTGTGTATTCCTATTTAGCTTGATACTCCCCAGAAAATATGTGCTTAAATATTTATTCGCAATGTGATACGTTTAAATTCGAAGCTGATTTCTTATACATCTTTGAAGTACTGTAGCGATAAGCTGACTATACAAGCAGAGCGTAAGCACATACCCATAGTCATCTGCAGCCGTGGGGTTCGGTATCTCGTGCGCATTTCCATAAGGGATTACATTGATCTCCATGATATCCCGGATGATAGGATCCTCCCACGCCTTGGTGAGGGCGCCTGGTTCCGAAGATCGGGATTGTGAGAAGTGAAATAGCATTACAGCGTTTATCGGAGCCATGGTAACACCGCTTCAGTACTGATTTTGGTGAAAAATGCCTCCCGTGTCTATTAAAGCACATGAGGCGAGAAAGCAACACTGTGCAAGCATTCTACAAAACGATCACACAAGCCGGGACAGTATTGTAGCATACACACCACACATACAATCTGAATTGCAATTATTAGCATATGCACCAGACACAAATCTAAGTATTAATCATTTAAAGTTGAAATAGAAAATCATCTCACAGGACACAAATGGAACTAATGCGCTTCACAAAGATTGTCGGCTGATGATTTGATCATCCCTCCCACAGTAACAAATACGCATCAAACGCGCGCAGTGGAGTGCCATCGGAGCAAATAGGCACCAGCTAGTCTGAGTGACTGAAGGAAGATCTAGACTGATGGTCACGTACGACTGCTAATATTGAAGAAAGTCCACTGTAGTATATGATACATCAATACATCACCAATACGAACTCACACCTTGAAGGAAAGTGCTGCAGAAGGGACACATGGACTCCATGTACAGCTCCACCTTGACCTTCTTAGGCTCGACATCTATCTCTTGTGCTGCAGACAATACACTCTACATAGCAAGCCATGATTTCGATATCACGTGCAGTTTGCGTTAATAGGCCTTAAATATTGTGTTCTGTTTAAAATACAAAGCTTGGGTGTATATGGTGAAACTTCTGTTTTTAGCTGGAGAGCTAGACTGACTATAGGGCTCAATCAAAGTCCAATCTCAACTCCATTCTAAGATACAAGTTCCATTCCAAAACCCATGTCTGCACGGGTGTCTGTTATATAGAGCTCAGGTTGTTGGTACCAAAGGGCATATGACTACTAGGCAAACTATCTCGATAAAACCTGAGGGAGTTTACTTTCCGTCGTGAGATTTACGCACACGTCCGTATTAAGTGCGATCTTGCTGAATGAGATCACTGTAATCGCACGAATTCCAAACTACCTTTACAATATCTATCGAAAACCGACAATATCGCCCAAGGAGAAACTAAAGTACAACGACGACGGACTTGTCATCGACGCATTCACTGCATTGAGCGCTATAAGTCTTGTCATCGAGAATTTATTTTCAGGCAAGTATAATACACTACAATAGTTGTGGTTATGCGGCTTTGGAACAAAGAGTAACCGGAGAAACTTTGCACTAAAACCGAATAACGACAACTCGAGTGTATGTAAAGAACAAACCAACTAATAACACAAATTAACTTAGATGCACCTATGAAGTCACCCTCTTGTGCGTACGCACATACCAATAGGTGAGCTCCACGGGCACGGGCTGTAGACATTCGCGCGGCTGCCTGGACAGTCGCATCGAGCGCCGTCAGGGCAAAGACAACTGCCGAAAGTAAACCTCGCATGATGGTGATGAGCTGATAACCCCCGAATAGTCAGACCTAGGGGAGAATCCGTATGGGACGAGCAAGGATGCGAATCACACAATAATACCTAATATTGATGTCAATAATAATAATATTTTAAAAATTAAGTAATATTTGGTTTGTTTTTGATTCTTCTTTTTTGAACAAAAATAAGTTAAAGAAAAACAAAAACAAAAACAATGTTGTATGTAAATATTTCCCTCAACAGAAGAAGAGACCTCAGGCTCCTGACCTGAGCCGCTCAGGTCAGGAGTCAGAGACTCAGGGCTCAGAGGCAGACCAAAAAAAAAGAAGCTAAGTTTAAAATAAATAAATAAAAATAGGGTATATTTAGAGGGCTAAATAATAAATATGCTATGATTTTTTGTATTCTGGAAAAAAAAAAAGCTATGTGCGATAAACAAAAAAAGAGTGAAAGGAGAAATCTCAAATCTTATCGCCACCTCTACTGTAGCGAACGACAAGTCCCACGGCCACCTACATACGCCACACGCCACCCACACAGTCACACCCGCCACAACTTATAAGAGCAAATATCAATGACCCATCACAACAAGAGATCCACCCACACAGTCACACCCGCCACAACTTATAAGAGCAAATATCAATGACCCATCACAACAAGAGATGTCGTACAACAGTAGGCATGAATGGATCATATCGCCACTTCTGTTGTAACGAACGACAAGTCCCATGTCCTCCTACGCCACACGCCACCCACACAGTTACACCTGCCACAACTTATACGAGCTAATATCAATGACCCATCACAACAAGAGATGTCGTACAACAGTGGGCATGTCATGATGTCGGCGTCTCGCCGAATATATATATAAAGCAGCCGCTCTCTCTTTATCTGTGGCGAAAGAAAGGGCCGCCCATAGGTTAGAAGCTGTATGGTGGATTTCATACAGGTATATTAACTATCAGACATCTTACAGGTAAAACAATCATCAGATATCATACAAATATATCAATTGTCAGACATCACACAAATACAATTGTCAGACATCACACAAATATATCAATTGTCAGACATCACACATATATCAATTATCAGACATCACACAAATATATCAATCGTCAGGTATCATACCGGTATATCAATTATCAGCTGGAGTTTCGGGGTTCGGGCTATATTTTTGAGTAAACAAACGTCTGGGGACGCTTCCGCGATGTAACTTGTAGGTAAAAGTAGATGGTCCAAAAACGTGTTGCATGCTATTGCTAGCTGGAATTAATGAAAGAGGTATGAGTGGACAGCAGGAGAATAGTATATCAGGACAAAGCATGTATTGCTACAAGGATAGGTTTACCTTGTACACACAAATACATATAGCCCGCGCGCATGTTCAACTGTGGATAGGCTCAACACTTATGGATATAATGCTCGTCTGAGTACACACGGACATGTAACCCAAATCTCGTTTATTTAAATTCAGGCTTTTCTATTTATAGTTCTTTATCTATACGCATCATCGCACTTGGAACACCCTTGAGAATTGATCGCCCGAGCCAACCACTACGAAGCCATCGCCCTGTATTTTGAACGCAAAGGCAAGTTAGACAATAAACAGTATTATACGAGAGCGTGAAATAACTGATGTTCATATTATAAGAGATCCGTAGTGGTATCGAGAATGATGATATAGACCATAACACTTTGTATAACTCCATATGGACAAATTTGACACTACGAATCGGATATATATAGTTCATGTATTCTAAACGCACCGGACTGTAATCACCATAATGACACTCAACACCTGAGCAAACTACACTATATTCTATTTTATCATGACACTAAAAGCGAGACTATGTTATATCGGGACACTATTAGCGAGGCTCACGAATGATTGTGCTGAGGTTATCAACACCTGACCACACTACAATATATTATATTACATCATGACACTATTAGCAAGACGACACGAATGAATGCGCTGAGGTTATCAACACCTGAGCACAGTACAATATTTTACATTATATCATGACACTCAACACCTCAGCACACTACAATATATTATATTATATCATGACACTATTAGCAAGACGACACGAATGAATGTGCTGATGCTATCAACACCTGACCACACTATAATATTTTACATTATATCATGACACTCAACACCTGAGCACACCACAATATATTAAATTATATCATGACACTCAACACCTGAGCACACTACATAATACTATACTATATCATGACACTATTAGCAAGACGACACGAATGAATGTGCTGAGGTTATAAACACCTGACCACACTACAATATATTATATTATATCGTGACACTATTAGCAAGACGACACGAATGAATGTGCTGAGGTTATCAACACCTGAGCACACTACAATGGAATCCATTGGAACACCTCATAGCGAGGTTACACCATTAAACAACAACCACACACTTACGGCAGATATGTCGCTGCAGAGGATAGACATGCTCTCTTGGTAATCGGCTACTGGGGTGCCTTGAGGTACTTTGAAGACATTGATCCAGCTGTCTTTGCCGGTGGTCAGTAACCATGGCGACTGGTGGAGTAATTGTGTGATAGATAGGAGTTGAGTGCTATCATACAATGTAATGAACTATGTATAGTAGCAAGGTATAGGTAGAACGGGAACGCGACATCCATCAAATTTCATACAGAGTTAACTTCATTGGAACAATTCGATGTACGTCACAGTGCAGTATGTACCACCAGTTGGTTGATACAGTCAGATGCAGTATACGTGGATATGAGTAGTACCCCAAAAGGCAGCCATGGCTATAGAGAAACGACCAAGGAGGCTGCTTTATTAGAGGACCATCATTCATAGCGAGCGAGTAGAGTAGCACAAATCGAAGAGATATGGCAACGCAAAATAATATATATACATATACAAATGAAATACACACACATATAGTACACATACAACACACATACAACGTATATAACACAGAAACCACATACATATATAGTGTGTATCCAACAAACCACCTGAAAATTGACAAGCCAATACTACGTGGCTGTACATACGCGTAGGCAAGTACATACACACACGTGTAGTATCATATACACACGTGTACAATGTGCACAGGATACCAAGCTCATGTGGCCAAGGCGCGGACCACCACATCATATCCGTGCTGTCTGTTGGCATCTGCCAACGGTACTCAAACACCCACAACTCACCCTTGAAGCAAACTTCAGCGACAAGACCGAACCCATGTGTTTGGAGATGGCAAAGTTCTGGTCTGTTTCCTTTCGGCCGGCGCTGAATATTCTGACCTCGTGATTCTCCAGTCTGTGCGTAGTACAGGTAAGAGCATAAACAGGCGAGCACCCGTCAGTAGGTATGTATGTGGTGTGATAATGGGAATAAGGCAGGCGGGTACATATGACTATGTATGGAAACGGACAAGAGGACAGAACTTAAGGAGGACAGAACTTTAGAAAAGGACAGAACTTTAGGACAAGGCCAGAACTTCAGGTCTCTCTTGTGCAGCTACCCAGCCCAGGGACATATGCCTGACCAAACAACATGACATACCCGGCCGCAAGCCATTTGTCCGGCCCAGCCCCGACCGAAAATACCGAGGACGGGAACGGGACATTATCGACCTGTTTGTACATGCGCAGGTCCCAAACCCTCACAAAGTGGTCCAGGCCTCCAGTGACGATGGAGTGGCCGTCCTTGAACACGTCCACACAGCTGACACCGTCGCGGTGGCCCATGAAGCTGTTCACCAATTGCTGGTTCCGCACATCCCATATATTTATCACACCTGCACAGCCGCAGACGGAGATGGATAAGGATAAGGATAAGGATAAGGGTAATGATAAAGATAAAGATAAGGGTAAGGACAAGGACAGGGATATGGGTGAGGATAAGGATAGGGGTAAGGACAAGGACAAGGATAGGGGTAAGGATAAGGATGAGTATAAGAATAAAAATAAAGATAAGGATACATGCACGGAGTATAGCATGCGTGTGTGACGTATCTGCTCTCTCGCGTACATCGATTACACGAATCTTGGAATGTGTGCACATAAGAGAATACACACATGGGCGCATGGCGCATACACGGATACCACAGGGAGAAGCAGATCATAACTGCACCCCGAAATGGTTAGAGAGCTGGTACTGTATAGCCCACACGCATGGAGCCCCACAGTACAAAGAGACGACCACAGCACCACAAGCTGCTGTATTCACATGCATGTGTATACATGATGAACAATACTATTGATATACAATACTCAACAAGCAATACACTAAAACACAATCACCCTAGAAAGACATCCTCCACACTTACTCGACGGTTTATATATATATATAATTGGACACATCCAAGCATATGAAGACGCTTGGTTTATCCGGAGGCTATATCATTGGTGAGGTATGAAAGTGGTGACTTTTGTATGCTTTTAGATACAACGCGTAGGCTGTCGGCGCTATATTATCCCATAAAAAACCAGCAGTAGCGTCGTTGATGTAAATATGCACTTGGGAATACCCATACATCCAAGCCAATGTTAGTACAAAAGAATATAAATTAACACGTACAGGTACATATACATATACACGCACATATACACCAACACGAACATACACACTATACACTACCAGGTACATACACACAAACATACACAAATACACTACTATGCACATACACATATACACTTAACACGCACATACACATATACACCAACACGCACGTACACACACACACCAGCACGCACGTACACGCACATACCATCACTACAACCCGAGATACACAACGGATTGCTACTCTGACCGCCGCCATGGGCCGTGACCGCCAGTGCATAGCACGCAGGCGCATCGCTCTTCAACAGACCCAACATAGTCGGCTGAGGCGCCGCTATATCCCAAAGCGTTAACTCTTGCGCCTCCCCTCCTACTATCAGACTCCCGCCGTCCGGCATCAGCTTACAGGCACGGATGTAGTGGTCGTACATGCAGTCTAAAGCCGCCAGTGGAGTGTCGTAGGTGTGGGTGTCTAGCGGACCGTCGTAGCCCTGGGGTGGGGATGTGATGTTCCATACCTTGACGCATCCTTTGCCACCTGTGTACACGGTGCGGTCGTCCTGACTCAGCGGAGAGGAGAGGAGAGAGGGGAGTGCAGGTGGATAGAGGTGTTCGTAGATTAGAGTACGTGGGGTTACCAACGGTGGAAGATGCCGACAGCTCGAGGCCGATGTATATTTATGAGTGTGGGTGTGATGGTGGTAGATAGATATGGGGTGGGATGTATATTTATGAGTGTGTGTGTGTTGGTGGTAGATAGATATGGGGTGGGATGTATATTTATGTGTGGTGTGTTGGTGGTAGATAGATATGGGGTGGGATGTATATTTATGAGTGTGTGTGTGTTGGTGG